TGTCCAATGCCAAGCTCGAGGCGCAGCGCGATGACTAGAGCATCAACTCGGCAGACTTCTTGTTCCAGCCCACATTGCAGTTGAGCTCCTATCTGGGAAGCAGCAAGCATGCACCAACATGCACCATGCGCCGGTGCAGCATGTCCCTGCTCGCTCGCAAAGGACTTGCATGGTTGTGCACGTGTGCATCAAGCAAAAACTCGACCGACGACTCTACCTCTCGAATTGTTTTCCGGCCCCCGCCCTGCCCTGACAATTTTCAGTCCGATAGAGCGGTCTGTTGGAGGGCACCGTCGAAAAGGTTCTGGTGCCCCCTCTCGGTCGCAGAGAGAAAGAACACCTAGCCGGTCGTGCAGGTCGAGGCGAGAGAAATGGACCCTCGACCCGCGTGTGCGACAGTTAGCACATAGAGAGCAGGTCTATGCGATTGCATAGCACACGCACCCGGAAGCATGGTTGGCCGGTGGTTTTCATCGGGTGTTGTTCTTTCTCCTTGTGTGTTCAAGCACGACTCGAGCATGTGTGATTCGATGACATTCTCGATTCAAGCAATGGCGATTCAATCGGGTCGCAGGGTTTAGGGTGCTTACCGTTACTAGTAGTGAGGTGTTGAGCGTCGGGCTTGAATTTTCATGGTTTTCATGGTTCAGGGTGTTTAGGGCTTGGGATTTTTGCGTTCAAGGTGGAGGCTTCGTTCGGTTACGGGTATCCAATGTGTAGTCTGGGCTTGGGGTTGAGGGTTTAGGAGGCAACCTTGAGGGCTTTTGCAGCTTTAGGGTTTTTAGGGTTTGAGGTGTACGTGTCCTTGAGCACCTTTCGGACAATGAGCTTCAGACCTTTGTGGAGTTGAGGACCAAACTAGAATCTGCCGGGGCCTGAAGCCACCATGTCAGTGCGACAATCCCCGGTACGCGAATCCACAAGTGAATGCGATGCCCAGCATCTCCAGCACGCGCATCCGCCACGCAGTGTGCGAATCTCCTGTGCATGAACCTGCCGGTGAGTGCCCGAGTAGAGTTGTACGAGTTGCGAGACAAACGACACAGCCTTTTTGCTGCCGGAGAGTTGGTTGGCAGCTTGGCATCAGGGCTGCTCTATTCTCGGAGAGGTTATGCAGTGGTCGCAGTGACACACTCTCGAAACACGGGAGGCCCGCAGCCGCAAGGACACCTACCTCTTCGAGCTTGACAGAGGCTTATCTAAAGAGTGGGCTAAGAAGCAGTTTGTTTTGGGGCCTGGCATCTTGGATTATACCAGAGATGCTGAGGAGAGACGAGCTGTCATCAGTCTGAACACTGGCAAAGCAGCTGCTTGATTGAAGTGATTCTGAAGTGAGAAGCGTTGAAGGAACAGCGTTGCGAAGCCAGTCCGGCTTGTTTTTTCCGTCGCCAAGCAGCCAAGGCATTGTTCTCCTCTTCATTCGGAAGAGTTTGCTAAATGTGATCGTGACCGTGTGCCTGAAAAGGGCGAAGGATCCTTGCCAGCATTTTGATGACTGTAGCGAGAGCCGGCAAGCCATTGCTGCAGTGCTACGTTACTCTACAGCGCCTACGCAGCTGCTTCCGTTGTACTGTTTGGATTCCCACATCCATCGAAGGACCGGCGATACCAAGTGAGTTGCACCAGTGCCCTGGGTAGTTTTGGAATGTTTTCTTTTGCTTGAGCTTGGTTTATGCCCGAGTCACTATCGAAGCGATGAGGTCTGGGAGGCAACGTCATTGAGACGATCCACATGGGAGCTTCTTGATGTGGACTCTGCAGGGTTTGAGTGCTGAATATCCGCAGAATGTCTCGCCAGCATTGTGGTGTTCAACTGGAGGTTTCAGGATGGGTTAGCGCATTCATGTTCCCAGGCAGAAAGTAAGCAGCAACAAGTCAGCGCGGCAAAGCTTTGAGTGATCATCCGCATGATAACCCAATGGGAACAAGAGTAACAATAGTACAACAGGCCACGGCCTTGAGCTTAGGCCTCGGCTCGCCTGGGGGAGCTTCGGGAGCACCTCTGCAAGCGGCGACCCGGCTGACCCTCTGCAGCCTCCACTCGCCTCTTTTTCCTCACGCAGTGTGGGCTCAGAGACTCTCTTAGGGGCTCTCCCCTTTGACCCGGAAGTGTGCAAATATGCAGAGGAGTCACAAAAAAAAAGGCCGCCCCGCCAAAACTTCTCTCTTCTCCAGGGCTCTCGGCTGCAACCAGACCAAACTACGACCACCCCTACTCTTTCTCCCTCCAGTCCTCCAGTACATATTCTCTGCGCGTCATATGATGAAGTTTGGGGTTCTACCACCCTTGGCCACGGAAGACTAGCCAGAGCCATGGACTTGAACCCTAGAGGAGGCAACACCCTTTGTGCGAAACCAGGCTCGTCCTGTCGAGGAACAGATTGACTCTTCTTGCAGAGGCGGGCAGCCCTGCAAGAGTTTATCTCCAGCTGCGCATTCGGTGCAAGTACTGGAGAGAATCGTGGCGTGCAGCCGAAGCCGCGATTTTGCGTGCCCAGCGCTCGGCAACTTCTCCCGGCGGGCAGGCAGATGGAGCAGTTCATTTTGTGCCTTTTCAAACGAGCGTGGGCCGTACGCTATTCACAAAGCACAAGATGCTTGCCTTCCGAACATCCTTGCCGACTAAACGCAAACAAACCTGAGATGCAGCAGATGCAGGCTGGAACCGTCCTCTCCGTGGATCGAGATGGCCAGGCACTGGAAGCTGTGGCCTGAGCCTGGGAGTGGAGGGGTTTTTGGCGTTCTTGTTGACACAATGTGCTTTATGCTTTGTTCCCATGTGAACGAATTTCGAGATGGCTACGTTTCGTCAACAAGTACATGCCCAAATGTCTGGCTCAGATGAGATTGCACAGACTTGGAAAGGTCCTGGACTCTGTCGCGGCATGGGGTGGCGCGTGATCCACACCAGGGCATGGCTGCACGCCCCGGTTGAAAACATCGTGTGCAGAGCTGGGAGAATCCTGAGATTCAACGATGAACGAAGCGTGTGACATAGTGGAATCAAGGGTTCTCTCAGCGCCACCGTAGTCTGCTTGGAAGGAATCTTCCGTTTTGTCGTTTGCGATGCGGGATACCATTATATCTCGCTGCGGTTTTAGCCGGAGGGATGATTGGTTCCGTCGAGTCTGCCCAGACTGTCGGCAATTGTGAGTTGCCAGCAGGTGCCCAGATGGCGGCCTAAGCTCGACACACTGATCCCCTCTGTCGGTGCAGTGGGCGCAGTTGCTTGCCCCGCCCAGCATGCAAGTTTCGAAGGCCGTACACAGAAGACTGTACGGCGTTGTGCAGAGTCAGGACCTTGCGAAGATTGGGCTTCTGCGCGATGCGGAAATTCTAGCTGCAGTGTTTTCGAGTCGAGCCTTTCTTGGACCATAGACGACTAAACGATCGTGATCCTGCCTGGACTTAAGAGGTGGGGAGACGCCTGAGGCAAGGGGGGTTGGAAATAAGTATATTCGGGGAAACTACGAGAAAATCCGAGCTTAGGGAAGAGTAGGATAGTGTCGAAAATGATAATCCTGTGTTAATCGTTAATCATATATTTCTCCAATTTTTGTCTCATTTTCCCTTACATGAGGAAGAACTTAAGGGAACCATGGCAAACTCATAGGAAAAACAGGATGGTGTCGAGTATGAACTAGTTTCGATGCTTTTCCCGTTCTTGCATAGAAACCTAGGATTTCCAAACGAAATATTGGTTTATTTCATTTGTTTCTATGTGTCTGTTGTTTTTGGTCTTTTTGCTCAGTATTTTTGAGAAAGAACAATAGGACACAAATAGCGATAAATAAGATTTTGTAGAAAACGGATGGAGGTGTTTTTGCTTCAGATTTCTGCATCGAAAGCTGGGATTTCCCACAGAAATCCTACGTTAATGTATTATTATCTTATTGTCTATTGTTTGTGTTTTATTTTTCAACTCTTTTGAAGGAAAAACAAGGGAAGCATAGGACATTGATGAGAACAACGCAAAAATGAACTCAAGGATTTGCGACTCTAGCCCAGTACCCCAAGTGGTGAGCTTAGCTCGCACTAGTTAGTCTAGTTTTCCCTGTTGGGACGGTCGGGTTTATCTAGCTTGATTGGCGGACTTCGAGCCTGGGCGCCTCTGGTGGCACTGGACTCTGGTCTCATCGCATGTTTGAGGCGTCGAAACGCTCAAGACTCCGCATGTGCTCAGTCTGGTGCCGGCATGTTTGCACGAAGGCTCACAGCCTTTTACAGACTTCGCGTATCTCTTCCTGGAGTACGTCCAGTGCTGCCATGGCTATGGAGAAGGCTACAGCTCTCCTCAAGGCATCCTTACTTTGTGCCTAGATTCCCGGAAAGGTTCCAAGCATGAGGGTAAGCCGGGTAAGAGCTTGAAGTATTGTGTCTTGTGTAGACGGGAAGGTGATGATAAGAGTCTTGTTTCTCCGAGAGCCCTTGAAAGAACATGGTTCTAGGTTTGTCCAAACGTTAAAATCGTCTGGTCTTAGGGTCCTAGGGTGCGTCTTTTCCAGCGCAGTCTTTGCTTCGTTCAGCGAAGGAGGAGGCAGTCTTGCAAAAGGCTGTGCTGAAGAAACAACTACAAGCGAACTGCCTTGAGCGGCTTTTTACACAACACGAGTCGAGTCTGCTGTGGGGAAGCCCTTGGCCAAATGGCTGCATGCAGCCGGGTAAAGCTGTAGAAAACGTCACAAAATGCTTCTTGTTCAACTGCCATCAGAATATTCGGCCCGTAGACAATCGGATTGGCAACAGTCGATTCGCACGTGTCGCTTTGCGAATTTGATGGCTCACGGGGCTTCGTGGCTTTGTGCTTCTTACATCGTGCTGGTGGTTTCTTTGCGTGGTTCGACTCAGATGCCCGCCTGCCTGCATGAAATAACAAGTTCTGAGTGACAAAGCCAACTTGATATGAGAAGAGGGGCTACATGAAAACAGCATCTCCTGTAAACTTACTGGAGCACGTGTATCCTGCAGGAAGAGGTGTGCAGTTGTGGGTCTGGGCATGGTGCGGATGCAGTGTGTTGTTTATTTCCGGTTGACAAGGTGTCTGTTTGGGGGTTCCGATCTCGACCTTTCGCTGAGAGGCGCTCCCTTCTGCCAAGGCTGGGGTGCAAAAAAAAAGGGCGGGGTGGCTTCAGCGCAGGAGCGAGGAGTCCACGTTCTGCGCCTCTGTCCTGTGTAAAGTCTCGCTAGGTGTGCACCTCGCTGAGCTCAGCAGTGAGTGCGGCAAATGCATCAGAGGACAGGTGAACCAGGGGTGAACCATGTAAGACGGATGAATCACACTCTGACTGGGCAGCAATACCTCCGCCCGCGATACGAAATGCCAGCTGCTACATTTGAGCGGAGTCGTGGGCCCGCTCTCTCGGGAGGAGGGCAAGTGCTGGGCCGCTCTTCAGCTTGGAACCTCCACCCTCTCCGAGGCGGAGAAATCGAAGCCATCAGAGATAGCGCTGTCCTTGTTTTCCCACCGAGGTGCAGACGGCCCTCCAGCAGGGATCGAAGCAGCTCGCAGTGCTGTTAGTGGCCACACAGAAGCCTGTCTCGCAGCTGGAGGTGGGCAGATGGCGCTTTGAGATGCAATATCTGAAGCAGTGTCGGTCGACAGTAGCTTGGATTTCGGTATTGCTCTAGACGCACTGTGGTCATGCACTTGTAAGTGCAATCCTGTGGCGAGCAATTCACAGGCATCCTGATCCGTCACCCGGGTATACAATTCTTCTGCCCTCGAATACATAAAAGAGGTGCTGCGTGCGATGGAGTACGGTGGCGTCTATGTGGCTGCTGGAGAATTAGAGAGCTCAGGCAAGCAGCTCCTTGCATTTCAGGTTGACTCAGCTTTCGTTGTATCCGCGGTCCTTGCCGGGACAAACCGTGTCAGTGAAAGGAGCCTACAAGGCTGATACTAGCTACTGGCTTTGAATAGACCCTGGACATCTACATGCCGCGCGTCTCTCGACTTTCAGTATTGACGGAGGTTTCCAAGCGGCCCGATGTTCTTAAGAATAGGGATTTCGCCGTGCAGGCGCCCTCCTCAAGGAGGCTGCTGGCTACACGGAGGGCCCTGCTTTCGTGCTGCTCGCTCCAGCAGAGACCATCAAGGAGTGGTGGGATGCCGATTTTGTCAGCAAGATGGCAGTCCAGATCATGCCAACCAGCATTTTCCATGTTTTCAGCTGCCAGGGTGATGAGAACTGGACATCCTTCAGGTGCATGTCTGCACTTGTGGTCATGATGCAGCAGGGTAAATCTGTTTCTAGACTTTGGCTAATCGGCTGCTTTCTGGCGGTAGCCTGTAGCAGAGCCGAGGTACGATCCCCGCAAGGAAGACAAAGGCCGGCTGCGAAATAGTTGGGGACCCTGTGTTCAGCGGCTTCAAGAAAGCATCATTGCATGACGAATTTTGAAGAGGATGGCTCTGATCTTGACGCGACTATCTGTTAAATCATTCTTCGCTGTCTAAGATTACATGCCAATGCTACTGAACAGCGGGTCTTTGCTGTTAGATACCATTGGGGTATAGGCGCATGTGGAAGCAGCACGGCCAGGCCTGCCTGCCTTCTCCACAGACAGCACGCGCGTCCGTCAGGAGATTCAGGACTGTGCAGACCCGCTTAGAATTTCGCGGAAGATCTGTAACAGGGCTCAGGCACTGAACAGGCTTAATTGCTCAACTAGCCTCTCTGATCGATGGTAATAAGCAGCCACTCTTCGATGTTTGTTGGAGTTGCTACCATCTTTTGCAAAGCCTCTCCAGCATGGTTGATGCTTGTCAGAGCAAGACGGCACATTGCAGCAGAGCCAAGAGGCCATGAAGAACAAAGGGGAAGGTTTTCATCGATTGACTGCGATATTCCGATGAGTTGCATCTGGTCTGTGAAACGTGCTTGGACTTGGCTTGACGGAAGTTGCTGAGAGAAGCTTGAGGCATACATCTGCAGACACAGCTACCCAACTCCCATGTAGTTGCCTGTCAGGGCTTCCTTTCCAGGGAGAGTCTGCTGACGCTGATCGCAAAGAAGCTTGGGACTTGAACTCGTAGGCCACCTGTGCACGGAGGGTCACAAATTCACAATTCTGCTAAGGTCGTTGCCTTCTGCCACGGCTGCCGACAGTGGTGATGCTGCCGCCCTTAGCGAAGGCCGTGGACAGAGAAGAGAGCTGTGGGACAATCAAGCAAGTTTTTGAAGCTCGTCCAGGCCTTGCTGCGGCCTCAAAGACCGCCAGGGGCTGAACAGATGAGCAGGGTTTGATGGTGACGAGTCTGCTCAGCGTTCAACATGCCTCGTCTTTTTCGTTCACGGAATGACTGTCAATACAGCTGGCCAGGCAAGGGTGACGGAACAGTCATGAGTTATATGACTGATGAATCCCTGTTCATGCATCTACGTTGACAGGCTAGGGCCACGCTGTGCATATACCCTTTTAGTGCTGAGCTATATATCTGGCATACATCCAAACATCAAGCATTTCAGTGTCCACACTGGGGTCAAACATGCTCAAAATTTCGGGGCCGGGCTTGGCATGCATGCAAACAACCGTTTCAGCGTTGACACTGGGGTCAAGCGTTTCCGGGCCGGGCTTGGCGTACATGCAAACATCTACCGTTTCATTTCAACGTCCACACTGGGCCTGGCATACATCCAAACATCAGCCGATTCAGCATACACACATTTGGCACTTCGGGGACCGAGCGGCCTGGCATGCATCCAAACATCAACCGTTAGCCATTCTTGAGGAAGTACATCGGAGCCCTCAAAAGCCCTTTAGGAAGTTGTACCGGGGGTTCCGAATACACTTTAGCAAGGTGTGCTGTAAGACATCCTGCAAAATCGTACCATGTGGGCCTGGGCCTTCAGAATAGGCTTGGGGGTATCGTCCTCATACAAACAGTAGAGCGGGAGAGGCATCGTCCCGGACCCCAACACAAAAACGAAACTTCAGGTCTCGACCAGCGGGTTTGCAGGATCTGAGCCATTAATGCCCTTTGACAAGGTGTATTGGACCCCCCCAGAACCCTTTAGGAAACTGTATTTGAGCCTTTTTAGAGCCCTGCAACAAGGCGTATCGGATGCCAGCCCTTTAGGATGTTGCATCTGAGCCCCCAAGCCCTTTAACAAGACGTATCGGATCAGCCTAAAACCCTTTAAGCAGATGTATCGGTATCATTCTTCAAAGGCTTGCGTTCGCTCGGGCAAAGGGACACAGGGCTTGCCCTTTGCAACACTTTCGGCGACGGTGTCTACTTGCGGAACTGACGAACAGACTGTCTGGAATATGTGTGTTTTGTATCCACCTTGACAAGGGCGTCTACACTGGAGTGTGAAAGGCGATGCGTTTCGTAACTTTCCGCCGTCTATAAATTTTGCCTAAAGCGAGCGTCTAGTTGGGGATTCGTGGTCGGTTCAGAACATGGAGAAAGTTAAAGTCATGCCTCAGGCTTCTTTTTTCCTTTCAAACAAGAGCGGGGAAAGATTTCATTCGCCAATACAAGTTGATCCGGATCAGCTATTTTGGCTCGTGAAAGATGAACAAAGTGCTCACAGAAGCACAAATCATTTGTCGGTGTTCTTGTTCGCAAGAGTTTCGCTATGTCTTGGTGCCCCACATGGAATCACTGAGGTTACTATCCTCTACTCCTCTGACACTGGCCACGCTGAAGAGTGTGCTAAAGCTGTGGCGTTTCTCAGCAAGCACTTCATTTGACAAACCCAATCTTCCATGATCCAACAATCTTTGCACTTACCCATCGGTCCGAGGCGTCAGTGCCGCAATGGTGGCTTCGCCAGCAGCGCCGCCCGGATAATCCGACAGCCGTTCAGTTTTTTATTGCTAAGTGACAGCTGGGTGTTGTTTTTGGGATGGGCATGAAGGGGGTCCCGGTTTTTTTTTTAAAGGTTTGGCCAAAGTGGGTTTGTAAAAGGTTTGGCTAGGCCCTTGGTTCGCTAGTCCGCTGGTCCCTTGGTCCCTGGTCCTTTGGTCCGCTGGTCAGCTGGTCCTCTGGTCCTCTGGTCTTTGGTTTCTTGGTTCTTGTGCC